TTTTAAATCTCGGCGCCTCGACCGACCCTCCCGCCCCCCCCCCAGGTTCCTCCTTCCCCCCCCCCCGGGCTGAATTGGGCTTTAGGTTTCTGCCCCCCCCGGGAGAAGTGGCGGTCGGTTTCTTCTTTTGTTTCCGGGAGGCGCCGGGGGACTCGCCCTCCCCTCGGCCCAAGAAACCCTCCCCCGGGGCCCGGCCCTGGGAGAAGGGGGCGCCTCTGAGGGCTGCGGCCACCCCGCCGGCCTCGTGTCTTTCCCTGGCGGCCGGCGGCTTCTTCCGTGGGACAATATGTTCAAGAGAATGGCCGAATTTGGGCCTGACTCCGGCGGGAGAGTGAAGGTCAGTGCCCGCCCGCCGGTCCTCCCCGCGCGGCGTGGGGAGGGCCGCGGTGCCCCCGAGGTTTCCAGGCGGGAGCGAGTCCGATCCCGGAGGGAGCATCTGTGTTTTCCGGGGCCCCCACCTCACGGCGTCACCACCTCCTTCCGTCCCCGCCAACAACAAAGCCTTCGTGCTGTTTGGGGGGGAGGTGGGGGGGGGGGCGCAGAACGCCGGACACGGTTGCCTGGAAACCAGCCTCGTCGAGGCCGGGGAAAGCCCGCCTCTGTCCGTCCGCTGGGGTCCCGGTCCGGCGGGGTCGGCCCACCCGCTGGGGAGGGTGGAAACAGCAGCAGATACTGGGTGAGCCCTCCGCCTGCCCAGCACCGTGGCCAAAAGCTTTACCCGGTTCTCCGCTGCGGGCCCCGCGGAACCTGACAGAGGCCGGGTTACCCAGAGCATTTGCCAGAACTCAGAGCTGGGAGGTGGAAAGGGCAGACAACTTGCCCAGGTTCATGGTGTTGCCACAGCTGCGGCCGGATATTAACCAGGGCATGAGAAGCGCATTGCCTGGCACATAGGGACATGGACACCAGCTGCTTCAGTGGTTAGTTCAAGTTATCATAGAGCCTAACATAATGTTTGACACGGTGACACGTTTCCCTCGCACTTTCTTACATCCCCTAAGGCGCACATTCATTGTTAAGGCAGGACCAACTGGTTCCCAATATAACACCTGTTTCTACCCCTTAGGATGTTTATTTAGCCCAGAAAGCAAGTTTTTTCTCTTTTTTTCAAAAATATATTTTATTGATTTTTTACAGAGAGGAAGGGACAGGGATAGAGAGTTAGAAACATGGATCAGCTGCCTCCTGCACACCTCCGACTGGGGATGTGGCCGTAACCAAGGTGCATGCCCTTGGCCGGAATTGAACCCGGGACCTTTCAGTCCGCAGGCCGGCGCTCTATGCACTGAGCCAAACCGGTTAGGGCTGGAAGTTTTTCTTTAAAAAGAAATTACCCACTTTTGCAACAATCTAGCTAGTATAGGTTTTTAAAGAGTTCTTATCTGTCGTGTTGTTTTCACATAATTTTAACTCTATACTGTGTTTACAACTACCACACAGAGTGCTTTAATATCATATGTAAAGTGGGAGTTCTTCTGAAATTTCAAAAGCTACTGAAATTTAATGTAAGCAGAAAGAGATGCCGGGTAAATTGATAAACATACACATTTTGCCCAGACTTTTAGGGCAAGGTTTTGGACTGTTAGGAAAGTACTAGCAAACAAAGGGTTAAGATAGATTTTGGAGAAGAACTCACAGAACTTTCAATACTTGTAATCAATCATGTTAGGTTCTGAAAGTTTGTAAGTTTAAGTCCCAAGGGACTTGAGATTAGGCCTGTAGCCCTCAAATGCTTTTCTACAAACATAGGCGTGAGTTAGTCATGTAAAGCTTAAAACTAGTGCTTTTCAACCTTTTTCGTCTCATAGCACACATAAACTAATTACTAAAATTCTGTGGTGCACCAAAAATATATATTTTGCTGATCTGACCAAAAAAATAAGGAAGGGGGAGGTATATAACTTTGATTCATTCACACTGGATGGCTTTTCTTGTATTGGGTGTTGTCATTTTTTTTTTATTTGATAATCAAGAGAATATAGCTCAGTGCCCCTGGCTAAATAGTTAGGTATGTCATGTTTTAAAATTTCTTGCAGCATGCCAGTTGAAATTGCTGTTTTAAACTTAGGGACTTACTTCTCCTTACTCATTGTTACGTGGTTTTGTAGGCATCTTTTTCCAATTTAGATAAATTTTATCCAGGTAGAAAGTCTGTTGACAGATGAGCCCGTTTTTTATCATTGAGGAACTCTGCAAGTTCCTACCAACACCATAGCAGCCATGGGATCTATTAGCCACTCCCCAAGTCAGCTCTTCTTATACTCACTCATTCAGGCCTTGAACCTGAGACCCCATCTGTGGTTCCACAAAAGTGTCAGTAGCACTTACCGTGATTATTTACGTTCTTATACAAACAGCTTGCCTTCTTCTGGACTAACTTAGGCTAATAGGTATTGAATTTATTATTCAGCCACAATTAATAGTTTTTCCATTTGTTCAGTGCTTTCCCTCATTTCTTATTGGTTACATTGGCACAACACTTATCACATGTGTATATCTTGCTCTTTGACCTTCAGATACATTCTTACTACTGAACAATTGATCTGAAATTCATGTGTAACACTCAGCATTTTGTCTTCACTTGAAATTTTTTCTCTCCTCCATCATCATCTGTCAACACTCACTGCCTTTACACTCACCAGATGTGATGAGAAACATGTATGTACATCTCAGAAATGAGCCCAAATGTAGGAAGCATGGCCATTGGCAGTAAACGAGCATCAGTCGTCCAAGTGACACTTTATCATTATCCAAATCCAGCTGTAATATTTAACATTTTTATTTAGATTAATTTTTAAAAGCCCGTTCCGCAGCATTAATATTTTTGAAATTCTGGGTTTGAATTGCTAGTTACGGTTTTTCAAATAGTGGAAAAAGTAAAGCTATAAATAATAAAATGCGTTTATTATGTTTGCTCTTATTTTACCTAAAATCTTCTTCCAAGTTGTCTTTAGTATTTGTACTGTGCTTTGGAAAACACTGCCGTAAGCTGATAAATAGGACATTATCATCAGCTGATTGCAGTTGAAGTTGGCGATCTTTATTGCAGAGCCTCACTTTAAAGTTTGTGAATAAAGATTCTTTTGTGTTTCTTTTCAGAAAAGCTCTCAAAGTACTTAACATAAACTTATTTTTATTGATTTCAGAAAGAAAGGAGAGGGGGAGAGACAGGCACATCAATGATGTGAGAATAATTGATTGGCTGCCTTCTGCACTCCCCACACTGGAAATTGAACCCGAAAGCTAGGCCTGTGCCCTGACCAGGAATCGAACCCTGACCTTCTGCTCCATAAGTCGATGTTCAACCACTGAGCCTCATGTGCAGGGCTAAAATAGACATTTTCAAAGTGGGGACATTGTAATTAATCTGGTGTTTAGTTATTTGTATTAATATGAAATGAGGATAATTTTCTAAAATTGATTTACTGAGAGAAATAATGTTATAAGCAAACTCTAGTTTTTGTTGTTGTTTTTTTCAATTACAGTTGACACAATATTATATTAGTTTCAGGTGTACAACATAGTGATTAGACATTTATATAACTTACGAAGTGATCACCCTTATATATCTAGTAACCATCTGACACCATACATAGTACAGTACTGTTGACTATATTCCCTATGCAGTACTTTACATCCCTATGACTATTTCATAACTACCCATTTGTACTTAATTCCTTCACCTTTTTCACACCCCCGTCATCCCCCTCCAACCTGGCAACCATCAAAATATTCTCTGTATCTGTGAGTTTGTTTCTGTTTTGTTTGTTCCTTTATTGCACATAAAGGTGAAATTATATGGTACTTGTCTGTCTCTGTTTGATGGATTTCACTTAGCATAATACCCTCTAGGGTCCATCCATGTTGTTGCAAATGGTAAGATTTCATTCTTTTTTATGGCTGAGTAATATTCCGTTGTATATAATATTCCATTGTATATATCTACCACTTCTTTATCCATTCATCTATTGATGACACTTAGGTTGCTTCCATATCATGGCTATTTTAAATAGTGCTGTAATGAACATACAGTGGGGCCTTGACTTACGAGTTTAATTCTTTTGGAGACTGAACTTGTTATGGAGCTCTTGAAGGAGCTCGTTAACTCAAATTACTCTGTCAACTCAAAGCAAAAAATCGGCTGAGAGACAGCTGGTCTCTCAAAAAACTCGTTAGTCAGGACACTTGTAAGTCAAGGCCCCACTGTATGTCTTTTTGAATTAGTGTTTTGGATTTCTTCAAATAAATACCCCAAAATGGAATTGCTGAGTCCTTCTTTGTCTCTTGTTATAGCCTTTGTTTTAAAGGTAGGTGGGTGGGTGGGAAGAGATCAACCAAAGAACTTGTATGCATATATGCATAACCCATGGACACAGACAATAGGGAGGTGGGCTAGAAGGGGACAATGGAGGAAAAAAGGGGACGTATGTAGTACTTTCAACAGTAAAGATTTAATTAAAATAAAGTCTATTTTGTTTGGTATAAGTATTGCAACCCCAGCTTTTTTTGTTTCCATTTTCTCCAAGTGTCTTTTTCCATCCCTTTACTTTTAGTCTGTAGCTTTCCATCTAAAATGAGTCTCTTATATGCCTGCCATTTCTTAAAACAAACTTTCAGAACTCTTCTGTTTATTTGGGTAATGATACAATATTAATTTGTGTTTAAAATTTTCCTTTTAGGGGGTTACTATCGTTAAACCAATAGTTTATGGCAATGTTGCTCGATATTTTGGAAAGAAAAGAGAAGAGGATGGGCATACCCATCAATGGACAGTATATGTAAAACCATATAGAAATGAGGTAGGTACTGTTTTTTCCTATAGTTTGTTTTGCTTGAAAATAAATTTTAATATTATAGTGACTCTCTGATTATAAAATTGGTCCTTTTTAGAAAAGTTACCCACCCCAAAAGTTGAAAGAATAAAGTGAGAGCTGTCATTTTCATATGATTGTTCAGTAGAAATTTTCCAAAAATGTTTTCTAATTAAAATTAAATTACACTAACAAGAACTGTGCTATAAACACAGCACATCTTCCAGTCACCATGTCTTAAGTTAACTTAGTATTTAATCAGATGTTTCAAGAATAGTAGTTAATTTTTAAGTGATAATTTGGTTGGTTATCATCAGAGAAGATAAAAGACAAAACTGCTATATAATCTGGCTGCTGGTAATTTTGTTTTGTTGCTGAATCTCTAATGCCTGGAATGCAGCCAGTCCATAGTAGGTATTCAACAGATATTTATTAAGTGAATAAACTATTCCTCTATTTAAACCCTTCAAAATACACACAAAAGAATGGAAACAACTCAAGTGTCTTGAATAAATAAAATATGGTATATCCATGCAATGGAATGTCATTAGGCAGTAAAAAAAAAAGTATTGGTACATGCTGCTACCACATGGAGAAATTGAGAAACATTACGGTAAGAGAAAGAGGCCAGACACAAAGGCCACATATTCTATGATAGCATTTTTATAAAATGTCAAGAATAGGCAAATCCTGACACAGAAAATAGATTAGTGGTTGCCAGTGGTGGGAGGAAGAGGGACTTAAGAATGAGTGCTAATGGTATGGGGTTTCTTTTTATATGATAAAAATATTCTAAAATTGAATATAGTGATGGTTGTACAACTCTGAATATACTAAAAAGCCACTGAATGCTACGTTTTAAGTGGGTGAATTATTTGGTGTGTGAATATCTCAATAAAGCTGTTATTAAAAAAAACCCACCTTCAATGACTACCTATTAACCTCATAAAGGTAAAACTATCTTATTTTAGAGGCATGCTGTGGTCTTTCATTATCCTATCTTGGCAGCATTATACCTTGTCTGTATTTGCTTGTTCATTTCCTTATACCCTACATTCTACCAATACTAAATTACTTCTAGTTTCTCAAAGGAGCACTCTTAAACTCCTTCCTTCCTTCCTTCCTTCCTTCCTTCCTCCCTTCCTCCCTTCCTCCCTTCCTCCCTTCCTCCCTTCCTCCCTCCTTCCCTCCCTCCCTCCCTCCCTTCCTCCCTCCCTCCCTATTTTTACTATTTCCTTAGTCTTAGTTCAAGTGTATTTTCTTTAGAACTACTTTCTTGACCTCCAAAAACTGTTATGTTAGGTGCCTCTCCTATGGTCTTATACCTTGTGCCCTCAATGACACAGATTACACTGAAATACTGATTTTCTTGTCTGCTGCCTACTCCATAGACAGATCCTGAGGGCAAGACCCTATTACCATTTGGGCATCTAGTACCCAAAGTTAGTAGTCACTCATACTTGTAGAATAAAAACGAATGAAACTATTTCCAAAACAGACTTCAAAGATACTTAGGAAAATCTACCTCAGAAAAAAATGTTCATACAGATGATGTGCTGTAGAATTATACACCTAAAACCTGTATAATTTTGTTAACCAGTGTCACTCCCATAAATTCAAAAAAAAGGAGGGAAAATGTTCACAATATTATATTAAGTAATGAAAGCAGATATTAATATATCATTATAGTGTGATTCCAATTTAAACATATTGGATGCAAGGTAATAAGCACACACAAAAATTCCTGAAAGAAAAAAAATTAATAAACATTTCTATTGTTTGGCTTATTCTGTTTTGCATTTTTCTATAATGTGGTATGTTTGAAAAAGACACGTTAGCTAGGAGAATCCCTTTCATGTGTCAGAACTAAGGAATATGCTCTTGTGCTTCAAAATAAAATTAAGAAAAGGAGCAGTTTTATATCCAACAGTTTTAGCTGCTTAGTTGAGATGACCTTAGCTTTATATGATATAATTTTCTTCTTTGACGTTGCTTAGTTTTTAAATTTGCTTTGGATAATATGGTTATTATAAAAATATTGGAAGTGTACTATTGTTTTTATGGAAAAATTTTGATTTAGAGTATTGTCTATAGATAAATATAAAAAACTATTTGCAAAATAAGTGAATTGATATGTCTATGCCTATATATTATGAATTATGAGAGAATTCACCGGTTTTCTTGTTTAAAATTAAAAAAAACAAATCTCCTAGGTATAATTCATGGTGGTTTTTTTTTTTTAGAAAATTAGATTCTATAATATTTGAGGGGAAATGTGTTTTATAAAATTAGGTACATATGCTTAGTGTATTTCCCTCCTAGTTTTTATATGTAGATGGCAGAACTAATTAATTCCTCTGTATTTCAGGATATGTCAGCATATGTGAAGAAAATTCAATTTAAGTTACATGAAAGCTATGGCAATCCTTTAAGAGGTAGAGTATAGTTTTTTCATTTATAATATACAAATTTAAAAAGAGCTAGGAAACTACATCAGTAATTTACAGTTATAATTGTTTTATTTTTTTTTCTCTTCTTCAGTTGTTACTAAGCCTCCATATGAAATTACTGAAACAGGATGGGGTGAATTCGAAATAATCATCAAAATATTTTTTATTGATCCTAATGAGAGACCTGTGAGTAATGGTAATCTTTGTAAATTTAAAACAGATTTTTTAGTAATTGTGAAAATGTAACAATACTTAATGAAGAGCATATTATGTGTTAACATTTTTATTCAGACTTACTTTATGTACTCTTATGGTATGGTGTATTTTTTTTTAAATATGTTTTTATTGGTTTTAGAGAGAGAGGAAGGGAGAGGGAGAGAAAGAGAAATATAGATCGATTGCCTCCTGCCTACTGGGGATCAAGCCCGCAACCTGGGCATGTGCCATGACAGGGAATCAAACCAGCAACCTTTTGGTGCATGGGACAACACTTAAGCAGGGCTGGCATGGTGTATCTTGCCATGAGTTAAGATTTTTCATTTTTAAGTGATGTGCCTTCCAAGGCTTTTATTTTTCAATATAGAAAGAAGGAATACAATGTGAACATTTATTGGAAAGAAACCATGAAAATCATATGATTACTACAGCAAAAATTTTACTTTTGAATTTACTGATTTTAGAGAGAGGAATGGGGAGAGAGAGAAAACAAACATCAATTTATTGTTCCACTTATTTATGCATTCATTGGTTACTTCTTGTATATATTCTGACCGGGGATCAAACCTGTCACCTTGGTGTATTGGGACAATGCTCCAACCAACTGAGCTACTCGTCCAGGGATACCACAGCAAAAATTTTAAATTCACTAATATCATTTGGTTAGTAGTAATAAACAAGTTGAGTCCATATGCTATCTGAAATGGGAGTATCCAGTTTTTTATAGTTAAAAGCCTTAGAAATATAGTCTTGTTGCTTTTTCAAAGCAAAAAGTACTAGCAGCTTTACTTTATATCTTACTTGTGAATCCTTATTGATAACCACCAACTTTTTCATTTTATGGTCTCTTCTTATAAGATCATTGCTTGATAATGCAAAAAGTCCCTCAAACCTTTCACTGTGATCCCTCAGCAACTTTGTGAAGTTGGTGATATCTTCATTTTAGATAGGAGAATACTAAGGCTCAGAGGTCAAGTCACAGACTCAAAAATACAGTTAGTTGTGGCAAAGCTCGTTTTGAACCCAAGTATTAGATTTAGACCCCACACTCTTTCCGTTACTCTTTCTTTTGACAAACCACTAAGCCTCAGTTTATTGATTGGTTGATTGCTTTTATAGAGAGGGAGGGAGGGAGACAGAAACATGGATTCGTTGTTCCACTTATTTATGCATTCATTGGTTGATTCTTGTATGTGTCTTGACTGAGGATCGAACCCACAACCTTGGCATAAGCCTGTTTTATTTTTAAACCTAGAAGGCCACAACTCATTTATGGCTCTCTCATTTCACATTTGTGTGGCTGGTGTTTAATTTGTTTCAGGGCTTGCTTTAATAGTTCTCACCATTAATTTTCATCTTGATAAATTTAAGCTCATTCCTTTGGCGCCAAACATTTAGACTTTCATTATCAGATTAAAGTTTTAAAACTATATGTGGTTTTAAAGAAGTTGAGTATCACCCGGGCCAGGGCTCAGAGGATTGGTTCTTAACTAACTATATTAGAAGTACCCGAGGTGTTTTTTATAAGTTCAAACGAATAGGCCCAATCCCCTAGAGCAGTGGTTCTCAACCTTCCTAATGCCGAGACCCTTTAATACAGTTCCTCATGTTATGGTGACCCCCAACCATAAAATTATTTTCAGTGCTACTTCATAACTGTAATTTTGCTACAATTATGAATCGTAATGTAAATATCTGATATGCAGGATGTATTTTCATTGTTACAAGTTGAACATAATTAAAGCATAGTGATTAATCACAAGAACAATATGTAATTATATATGTGTTTTCCGATGGTCTTAGGCGACCCCTGTGAAAGGGTCATTCGACCCCCAAAGGGGTCGCAACCCACAGGTTGGCGACCCACAGGTTGAGAACCGCTGCCCTAGAGAGTCTGATTCAGTAGGTTTGGAGAGGGGCCAGCACCCCAGGTGATTTTGATACAAGGTAAGATTTAGAACCCATTGAGAGAGGCCATACTCTTCCTAGGTAGGAATTTCTTCATGCTGTCTCTGAAATAATCTCCTTTGGGTTTTGCTAATTTCAGTATGGAGAATATTGACTTCTGTCATTAAGTGAAACATCCCGTTCAGGTTTGGGGTAGTTCTAGGATTTTTTTTATTGTTGTTTTTTTTTAATATATTTTTATTGATTTCAGAGAGGAAGGAGGAGGGAGAGAGAGATAGAAACATCAGTGATGAGAGAGAATCATTCATTGGCTTCCTCCTGTTCACCTCCACTGGGAATGGAGCCTGCAACCCAGGCATGTACCCTGACTGGGAATCGAACCATGACCTCCTGGTTCATAGGTCAATGCTCAACCACTGAGCCATGCCTGCTGGGCATGGTGTGGGGTGGTTCTAGTTTTAAGAAAGCTCTACTTTGCCCTGACTAGTTTGGCTCAGTGGATAGAGCATTGGCCTGCAGACTGAAGGGTCCCAGGTTTGATTCCAGTCAAGGGCATGTACCTTGGTTGCGGGCATATCCCCAGTGGGAGGTGTGCAGGAGGCAGCTGATCAATGTTTCTCTCTCATTGATGTTTCTAACTCTCTATTCCTCTCCCTTCCTCTCTGTAAAAAATCAATAAAATATATTTAAAAAAAAAAAAAAGAAAGCTCTACTTTATTATAAGCTTCCTTGAACTTTTTATTGATAATTATTCATACATTAGTTTTCTTTTTTCCTGTATAAACATCTGTGGCTCATTTAAATATTTTTCATGTGATACGGTTTCCAGGTCTGCCATTTTTGTTTTCTTTCTAGAGTACTCTCACAACTATTCTGTATGGCAAGAAATTATTAAATATTCATTATTTGCAAAATATTATTCAAATATCTTGATACAAAGATGAAGCACTGCTTTTGTTCTTAATCAAAATAGTCTTTTAAGCCCTGGCCAGTTTGGTTCAGTGGATAGAGCAGTGATTCCCAAAGTGGGCGCTACCGCCCCCTGGTGGGCGCTGCAGCGATCCAGGGGGCTAGTGATGGCCACAGGTGCATTTGTTTTAACTTTTTTTGTATTACCTTTCTATTCTGAGTTCAATAAATAGTTTCATAATTTCAAACTTCAATGTTTCTAATTTACACCTTTCTTTACTATATTTTACGAAAAAGGTAGAAACATTAATACATATATCTTTCTGTTTAATTGCTATTAAAATTAAAAAAAATTAATTTCCAGGGGGCGCTGAGTAATATTTTTTCTGGAAAGGGGGCGGTAGGCCAAATAAGTTTGGGAACCACTGGGATAGAGTGTCAGCCTGTGGACTGAAGGGTCCCGGGTTCGATTCCGGTCAAGGGCATATACCTCAGTTGCAGGTTCAGTCCTTGGCCCTGATTGGGGAGCATGTGGTAGACAACCAATTGATGTGTCTCTCTCACATTGATGTTTTTCTCTTTGTCTCTCCCTCTCCACTTTCTCTAAAAATCAGTGGGAAAATATCCTCAGGTGAGAATTAAACAAATAAATAAATAGTCTGTTAAAGAGACTGGAGCACAAAATTTAGCAGATATTGAGAGAGATAAGAAGTCAGTAATGTTACTAGAGCAGAAGCTCTTTTTAACTTTGTAAGATTGCTTTGAATTCATTTTAATTTTGAGAATGTGTGCCCTTACCTATCTCTTCATCTGTTGTCCCCTCCTATCCCAATTGGAAAATACATCTCTGAAAGAAATCTTTATATCATGTAATTTTAAAGTCCACTCTTGGAAAAGTAAAGTAATATGTTCTTTTGCACTTCTGCAGTGATTAATTTATTAAATAGGTTTCCATATAGATCTACATAGGCCTGAATTTAAATATATATATATTACTTTTTAAAGAGAGAGGAAGGGAGAGAGAGAAAGAGAAACATTGATTGGCTGCCTCCCACACGCCCCCTACTAGGGATGGAGCCCAAAACCTGGGCATGTGCGCTGACCAAGAATTAAACCAGCAACCTTTTGGTGCCCAACCAGCTGAGCCACCCAGCCAGGGCTATGCCTGAATTTTAGTCCCCAAAAACTATTGTAATATTCTTTTAGTATAATGAAACCATTATACTTTTTCAATAGTTGGTTCTTACAGAAAATGTCATATGAGAGCTTATTTAAAATATAAAAGACACTGGTAACTTGTGACTTACTTCTGTTATCCATTAACCTAATATAGGTCAAGCCATTGTAAAAGGAATGGTGTTTCTAAAAGCAAATGCTAAAATTGTTGCCCTGGCCGGTGTGGCTCAAGTGGTAGAGCATCGGCCTGTGCTCCAAAGGGTCGAGGGGTCGATTCCTGGTCAAGGACATGTATCTGGGTTGCAGGTTTGATCCCCAACCCTGGTCATGGCAGATGTAGGAGGCAACCAGTTGATGTGTCTCTTTCACATCAATGTTTCTCTCTCTCTCCTTCCCTCCTCCTCTCTTCCACCTTTCCACTCTCTCTCTAAAAACCAGTGGAGAAAATATCCTCGGGTAAAGATTAACAAAACAAAAGCTAAAATTTCTATGCCTAGAAATACATCTGTAGTAAGTACAGGTGTTTTCATTGCTCTAAGAATCACCAAACCCAGCTCAAAATTGGAGACATCTGTCTTGAAATTTTTCATTGCCTATATATTTTCATGAATGCCTCTGGTAGTCTAAATGATAAATTGAGGGGAGGACAGTTTTATATATTTTTTGAATTATAAAAGTCAAACATGCTGATTTTTTTTTAAAGTTTTTAAAAACAAAAAGTACAAGTCTTTTGTACTAGTTTCCTAGGGCTGCCATAACATAGTACCACAAACTGAGTGGCTAAACAACAGAAATTTATTCTCACAGCTCTGGAAGCTAGAAGTTCAAAATCCAGGTGTTGGTCCTGCTCTCTCCAGAGCCTTTAGGGGAGGATTCTTTCTTGTCACTTCCAGTTTCTGGTAGCCCCAGGATCCTTAGCTTGTGGCAGCATAACTTCATCTCTGTCTTCATTGTCACATGGCCTTTCTTTGTGTTTCTTCTTATGAGGACACTAGTCATATTGGATTTGGGCACATCCTACTGACTTTATCTTAATTTGATTATATCTGCAAAAACCTTACTTCCAGATAAGGTCACTTTCACAGGGCCTAAGGATTAGGACTTCATCATATCGTTTTGGGGGACACAGTTCAACCCATAACATCTTGTTTTCTCCCATATCTGGCCCCTTGCCCAGGAAAACCATAGTTATTCTTTTCTGTTTCTCTAGAAATTACTCCCATGCATCTCATATAGTTTGAATTTTTCTTTTAGATAGTGCCTGTCAACTACTAATGAGGACAGATGATCTTTTTCTTCATCTTTCCAGGTTTCTGTTTTTCATTTTGCTGGAGGAATTTCTTCAGAAAGGATGCCTGAGAAATAAACTTTCAGAGCCATTGCTATCTGAAAATTCTTTATTTTTACTTCATACTGTTTGGGTGAAAAATTCTAGGTTCCACAAGAAGATATGCATGTTCTCTTGTCTATGCGTGAAGGAAGATAGTAGAAAGCTAACAGGCCCAGCCGCCCCCAGCATTCTTGATTTCTCCACCTGCCAACTCTGAGCTCTGAACCTCTCTGGGGCTCCTCTGGGAGTGCCGGCTCCCACCTGTGTACAGTTCTCTTCCCTACGTTTCCAGGTTGTGATTTCCCTGTTATGGAATAGCCATCCATGTAGTCACGTGCCCTTGTCTATTCCATACATTTCTCAAGTTATCTGCTTGGAATATGGCTTGTGATTGATGCACGTTTACTTATAATGATTTTTGCTAAGTTTTGGAAAATTCTCTGAGGCCTCTGAATTGGTTTCTCCAACTTCAACATGAACTCTGATATTTTGCCAGCTGGGTTTTATTTTGCTAAAGTAATCACACATTGTTCTACAAAACTTTTCCTTTGATGTCTTACTACACTTTTTTTTTAAGTATTTTGAAGACATGTTCGTGCCAAAGTGAATTACCACTGACTTTGTTACTTACATAATAATCTTTTTTTTATATAATTTTCATTTCTTGAAGTATTACAAAGAGTATTACATATGTCTCCTTTTTCCCCCCCTTGACATTCCCCTGGCCCCTAACCCCCAGTGTCTTGTGTCCATTGGTTATTCTTATATGCATGCATATAAGTCCTTCGGTTGATCTCTTAATCCCCCCCCAACCCTCCCCAGGCTTCCCACTATAGTATGACAGTCTGTTCAGTGTTGCTCTGCCTCTGCATCTACCCCTGTTCATCAGTCTATACTGGTCCCCATTATCTGTCCCAACCTCACTGGAGCATCCCGACCTCACCGGGGCCGTCCCAACCTCACCGGGGCCGTCCCAACCTCTCCGGAGCCATTTCGACCTCACCGGGGCCGTCCCAGCCTCACTGGGGAAACACGAAGTTTGGCCCTCTGTCCCCTGCTGGGCTGCTCCCCACCAGACGAAATCTCCAGGCGTTCCTGGTGGCTGAACATCCAGCACGCCTGCTCGGACTACGCCCTCCACCAAGTGCACAGACTGCCCGTCTGCCGTCCCCAGGGTCCCACGCGAGACTGGAACCGGTGGGCGTGCTTGTGCGCCTGCTGGTATAGCGGTTCCACATCGCTGGCCCAGCCGGGCCTGGCTCCGGCCTGCCCCGAACCCAACTCCGCCCCCCGAGTGCATCCCTCCCAGATGCGAGGAGCTGAAATCTGCAGCCTGCTGGGTTGGGCTCTGTACTTGGTGCCTCTGCACATCCTACTCAGTCTCAATGCTCTTCTTTCTATTCGAGGAGTTGAAATCTTCAGTTTGTTGGGTTGGGCTCTGTACTTGGTGTCTCTGCACATCCTACTCAGTCTCAGTGTTCTTCTTTCTTTCCTTCCAGTTGTAGAGCTTCCACTGGGCCAGCTTTCCCATAGTTCCGTATGATAGCTGTTTGTCCTATAGTTGGTAGTTTCAATGTTGTTGTGGGAGGCAGCACGCACAGGTCTCTTCCTTACGCCGCCATCTTGGTTCTCCTGGGTCTGCTTCTTGAGTGTGTCTCCCATGGGTGCGAGCAGTTGAAGTCTGCAATTTGTTGGGTTAGGCTGCAAAAGCGCAGGTGGGTCTTTTTGTGCACCTGGCACAGCTTGGATGGGGATGTAAATTGATTAGGGCTGGGTCTCAGGGAGTCGCCCTGGCGGGAGCAAATAGCACTGGCTGCGTCTCCGCGGCCCCTCGCCTCTCCGGGACACCGGGGCTTCGCGTCCCCCAGTGCCGGCGAGCAGCTGTGCGACAGAGCCTCCCTCGCTTTCTGACGGCTGGCTGCAAGGCCGTGCCGTCTCTCCCCATGGGGCCTGGGGCCTCAGAGACCCGCCTGAACCAGCTCAGTGGATTTGAGAGTTTGTAAAAGCGCAGGCATTTCCTCTTGTGCCTCTGGCACAGCCTGGATGGGAATGTAAATTGAATAGGGCAGGGTCTCAGGGAGTCGCCGGGGCGGAGTCTCCTCGGCCCCTCGCCTCTCCAGGACACCGGGACTTTGCGTCCCCCAGTGCCGGCGAGCAGCCGCGCGTCAGAGCTTCCCTCACTTTCCGACCACTGCAAGGCCGTGCCGCCTCTCCCCATGGGGTCTGGGGCCTCAGAGACCCGCCCCGAGCAAGCCCAGAGGATTCGAGGGTTCGTAACCGCGTCCGATTGAAAAAAAACCGCACATCCAGTTGCAGCCCGCCTGGCACGTGACTGTGTACCTCTGTTTTTGACGCCTCTGTAGCTCCTACTCAGTCTCACTGCGCTTCTTTCTTTTCTTCCAGTTGTAGATCTCCCACTGGGCCAACTTCCCCATGGTTCTGAATGGTGGTTGTTTGTCTTATAGTTGGTAGTTTCAATGATGTTGTGAGAGGGCAGCACGCACAGGTCTACTCCCTACGCCGCCATCTTGGTTCTCCTCCTTACGTAATAATCTTATAGGTCGCCAAAGAAATTATCTTACCCTCATAAGCACTTTAGTATTAGTCATTCCTTTTGAAAGTATCAAAATGTTTTTTGCCATAGCAAATTTGTAAACTTTAATCTTCACAGAACAACTGTCATAATCTAATTTCACTTGTGTTAGTAATTTTCCAGTTTAATTTCCAGAGCTGTATCTTATGTTGTTTTTGTATACAGTCACTCTCTAGAAATGCTTTGTAACAGATCTTTACTTACCATCTTCAGAATGTTCATGTTTAGATGTGGATGATGGTAATACCTAATAGGAAAGTAAAAGTACAGAGAGTTTTGAGTGATTTGCCACAGTTGAGACAAGATCCTGAATTTGGTATGTTTACTAATTCCAGTCTCTAATTCAGTTACAGAAATGACAGCATTTCACAATGATGAAGGTAACCATTGCACAGATGTGATGTCTGTTTTTATTTCACAGGTAACCCTGTATCATTTATTAAAGCTGTTCCAATCAGATACCAATGCAATGCTGGGGAAAAAGACAGTGGTTTCAGAGTTCTATGATGAAATGGTAAGATTTTATAATGAGAGTTTTAAAAGCATTTTAAATTGTAGAACTTTGAAGTTATTAGGCCTTTTCTCATTTTATCTCATTAGATATTTCAAGACCCAACAGCAATGATGCAACAATTATTAACAACATCTCGTCAGCTAACATTAGGAGCCTACAAGCATGAAACAGAATGTAAGTGCCATGAGTTTATAATTAATCCTGGAAAATAGTGAGTATGGAGGAAGAAAAACTAGGTGCCCATAATGCTCTAAAGCAGCGATTCTCAATCTGTGGGTTGCGACCCCTTTGGGGGTCGAACAACCCTTTCACAGGGGTCACCTAAGACCATCGAAAACACATATATAATTACATATTGTTTTTGTGATTAATCACTATGCTTTAATTATGTTCAATTTGTAACAATGAAAATACATCCTGCATATCAGATATTTACATTACGATTCATAACAGTAGCAAAATTACAGTTATAAAGTAGCAATGAAAATAATTTTATGGTTGGGGGTCACCACAACATGAGGAACTGTGTTAAAGGGCCACGGCATTAGGAAGGTTGAGAACCACTGGTCTAGAGGGTAGTGTTTTCAGGGGGAAATAAACCAGTATATTTATAGGCTGAAAGAAGTGATGGGACCCAGTAAAAGAATGGGTTGGGGACGAGAATACAGGGGAGAAGGCAGTTTCTATTTAACCCTTGTTGGTTTCAGTATTGTTTTGTTTGTATTGTTATGAAACTCATGACTAGAAGTTAAAAGATCTGAATATTGATTATAATTTTGCCACTTGGTAGTCATTTAAAATTTAAAATCATACTCATTTAAAAGTTTTATGCTTCACTTTCTGCATCTGCAAATGTATTTACCTGGCCTACTTCATTATGAACATAAAACATATGTATATGACCACTTTGACAAGGTAAAAAAGCACCTAATATGCTATTTTAATTTGTTATTGGTCATTTGTGCTCCATAGATCTTTCTCCCATAGCATAAAATGTACCAAATTGATAGAGGAAAATTCTTTTAAAATTCAAGAGACCACATTTTTGTGTTTTCAACAAAACAAATAACTCATTTAAGTAGGTACAAGTAATTAATGTGTTTTATAAAAAAGCTTTCCTATAAAATATATTTTATGTGTTAAAGCTTATCCATGGAGCTGTATATCCTTGGGAAGTTTTTACCAGTAAATTGCATGTTATGAATTATATTCACTTTATTTTCTTAATAATATCAAATCAGTAAGGAAAAAAAAGATAATTTCAAAAGTGGTACTGGCACAGTTGATAAGCTTTTGAGAAGAAAACTTAATTTAGATCATTGCTTCATAGCATTTATCAAAACAGATTCCAGTTTAATTAAAAATAGTTAAATGTTTTTTAAAGTCAGTCAACCTATTATTTCAAAAATTAGAGAAATGGCTGACCTGGCTGGGGAAGAGTTTTTAAAATTGAGATGTTAGAAGAAATTACATTAAAGGAAAGAAAAACCTGATTTTGTAAAAAATATTTAACTTCTACATTTCAAAAGGGCAAAGAAGAAAAATAATTTTGTAGAAATATGGCAAAAGATTAGTATCTTAAAAACCCTAAAATGGACAAATGAAATACAGGGTGTCCCAAAAAAAATGTATACACATTTTAAAAGCTGATAGCTCAGTTTTTTTTAAATGAAATTTATTTTAATAAACACTGTTTTTATAATTATTTAAAGAACTAGAGGCCCGGTGCACGAACTTGTGCATCAGTGGGGTCCCTGGGCCTGGCCTGTGGGATTGGGCCTAAACCGCCTCTCCCACATCCCCCAGGGAGTCCCAGGTTGCGAGAGGGTACAGGCCAGGCCAAGGGTGCACAATCAGGGCTGGGGAGGGACATGGGAGGTTGGCCAGCTGGGGAGGGACCGTGAGAGGGCTCCAGAGCATGTTCTGCCTATCTTGCTCAGTCCCAATTGGCCGGACCCTAGCAGCAAGCTAACCTACTGGTTGGAGCGTCTGCCCCCTGGTGGTCAGTGCACATCATAGCAAGCGGTTGAGTGGCCTTAGCATATCATCAGCATATTATGCTTTGATTGGTTGAACGGCCAACTGGACTACCAGACACATAGCATATTAGACTTTTATTATATAGGATATGCATACATTTTTTGGGGACACTGTATAAAAATTTTAAACTTCAATTGATAAATGGACAAAAGACATGGACAGGCAAAAGAAGAGATCATTAGTAAATAAAATGGGAAAATATTTGTCCCTGCTAGTAATTTTTAAAATGCAAAAAACTGGGAGGGGGAACATCTGTAATACTTTCAACAATAAAGATAAATTTAAAAAAAAATAAAGTGAGCTCTGCTGGTATGGCTCAGTGGTTGAGCATCAACCTCTGAACCAGGAGGTCACAATTTGATTCTGGTCAGGGACATGCCCGGGTTGTGGGCTCAGTCCCCAGTAGCAGGTGTGCAGGAGGCAGCTGATCAGTGATTCTCTCTCATCAGTGATTCTCTCTCATTAGTGATATTTCTATCTCTCTCTCCCTCTCTCTTCATCTCTGAAATATATTTAATGAAAATATATTAAAAATAAAATGAAAAGATAAATTTTAAAAACTGTGAAGCAAACAATGGGTATCAAATCAGCAAAAGGAATCTTTAATAGTGAGGATGTGCCCTCAATGAATAGAGCGTTGGCCTGCGGAATCAAGGGTTCCAGGTTCGATTCTGGTCAAGGGTATGTACCTTGGTTGCGGGCACATCCCCAGTGGGGGATGTGCAGGAGGCGGCTGATCAATGTTTCTCTCTCATTGATGTTTCTAACTCTCTATCCCTCTCCCTTCCTCTCTGTAAGAAATCAATAAAATATATTTTTAAAAATAGTGAGGATGTGTTGAACTTTACATTCTCATAAATTGTTTGTGTGGGTATGAATTGCTTTAGCCTCTTAGGAAAACAATTTAGGAATGTGAATCAAAGACCTAAAAAGATATGTACACTCTTACCAATTTGAGGGCATTATACTCAATATTTGGTAATAATAAGATAGCAGATTTATTGAGTGCTTACTATTTGTTTTTGTTTTTATGGTTTTATAAAAAATATATTTTTATTGATTTTAGAGAGGAAGTGGGAGGGAAAGAGAGCTAGAAACATCAATGATGAGAGAGAATAATTCATTGGCTGTCTCCTGCACACCCCCTACTGGGATCAGACCAGCAACCGGACATGTGCCCTTGACCGGATTTGAACCTGGGACCCTTCAGTCCGTATGCTGACACTCTATCTGCTGAGCCAAACTGGCTAGGGCAGAGTGTTTACTATTTGTACTCTTCTAAATCTGTACATGTATAAAATTTAATTCTACAATTATTTTATTAAGTACTCCATTTTATAAAAGCAAACAGGTATAGTTAAGTTAAATTACTTGCCCATGAATACAGCTAATTATTGGTAGAGTCAGGACTACATCCCAAGCACTCCTCAGAACTTAGGCTCTAAAAACTTAGTAATATTTTTAGATAGAGTGATATTCAGGATAGACATTTCTCATTATGAAGCATATTAAAAGTTTATAAAGATACTTGTGCTAGTAGTAAACCCATGCAGATTTAGTTAAACACTAATGATACAGCTTTTAAAGTAATAGTTGCTTTTACAAGGAATAACTTAAATGAACATGCAATGAGAGCTTACTATGTACTAGACAAGCACTTAACATTTCATAACTTATTGGATACCATAATAACCATAAGAGGAGGGTACTACTTTTAGTCCCATTGTATAAGTAAAGACTCTAGAGCAGCGGTTCTCAACCTGTGGGTCACGACCCTTTGGCGGTCGAACGACCCTTTCACAGGGGTCGCCTAAGACCATCCTGCATATCAGATATTTACATTACGATTCATAGCAGTAGCAACATTACAGTTATGAAGTAGCAACGAAAATAATTTTATGGTTGGGTCACAACATCAGGAACTGTGTTTAAAGGGCCAGAAGGTTGAGAACCACTGCCCTAGAGCTACAGATCAGAGCCAGGATTTTAAACCCAGAGTCTGTACTCTTAACCAATAAGCTATCGATCTCTGTGTAAAAGCCTTATAACCTGTGCTTCAAACCAGTAAGTAAGATCGGCTCTGCACAAATAATTATTCTTCTTTGGATTAATTTACTCCAGCTTGAGGCTTCATTTTGAAATTTAAAAATATAAGCATTTAGTATGTAGAAAGCAGAAAAGTGGAACAAAATAAAAGAAGTTTAAAAATGTTTTCCCCCATGATCTCATTGCTAATTAACCTAGGCCTTCTTCCAGATATATCCTGCCCTTTGCGATCTTATGATTTGTCAAGAATAAAGGGTAACTAAATCAGACCAACGGAATGTGTATCTACTGTGAATGCTGTCTTTCTGACAAATGAGTCAGGTCTTCCTGACTAGATTTAAGACTTACAATAATACAGGACTCCTTGTTGTTCCCCAAATGTACATGTGCTGTTTCTAGGGCAGGGGTGGGCAAACTTTTTGACTCGAGGGCCACAATGGGTTCTTAAACTGGACTGGAGGGCCGGAACAAAAGCATGGATGGAGTGTTTGTGTGAACTAATCTAAATTCAAAGTAAACATCATTACATAAAAGGGTAAGGTCTTTTTTTTTTTTTTTTAGTTTTATTCATTTCAAATGGGCCGGATCCTGCCCGGGGGCCGTAGTTTGCCCATGGCTGTTCTAGGGCCTGCTATGTGTACTTCCTCTGCCTACTTCCTTTCTCATTCTGTAGAACTTTGATCAGTTTTTCCTACTTCCAAGATGCCTTCCTTCATAATCACATACCCTTTCCTTTCCCCTTAGTATAAATCCAGTCTGCTTTCATTTCTCCCTATGATTATCTTATGACATTGTACTGCATTTTTCTTTCTTGTCCATCTTCTACCTCTGTACCCCAGCATGTAACAGTGTTTTTTAATTGATATGGAGAGGGGAGCAAGGGAATAAAATATTTTGCATTGTAAACAAAGCACTGTAAACAAAGTGTGAAGACTTTGTTTCAAACCATGAAAAACTATTGTGTTCATATCACAAATGACTAATTTCTTTAATATATAAAGAGCTCCTACACCTCATAAGAAAGACCAGTAACCAATAACCAAAAAGCTTCTGCACAGCAAAGGAAACCATCAACAAGATAAAAAGGCAACCTAGTGAATGGGAGAAAATATTTGCAAATCATGTATCTGATAAGAGGTTAATATCCAAAATATATAAATAACTCATACAACTCAGGAGTAAAAAAAGCAAACAATTTAATTTTAAAATGTGCAGAAGATCTGAATAGATATTTTTCCAAAGAAGATACAGGTGGCCAACAGGTACTTGTAAAGGTGTTCAACGTCACTAATCGGGGAAATGCAAATCAAAACCACAATGAAATAATCACCTCCCAACTGTCAGTATTGCTATTATGAAAAATGCATCAACAGCAACAAAGAGAAAACAAACACAGAAAAAAAAAAGGCATCAAACAGGTGTTGGCAAGGATGTGGAGAAAGGGAACTCTCATGCACTGCTGGAGGGATTGTAAATTGGTGCAGACATGGTGGAAAAACAGTATAGAGCGTTTTCAAAATCTTAAAAATAGAACCACTTATGATCCAATAGTTCTACTCCTGGGTATTTATCCAAAGAAAATGAAAATACTAAATATACATATATATACACACATACATACAAATATACACACCACACACTCACACACACACTGCCATGTTTATTGAAGCATTATTTATGGTACTCAAGATATGGAAACTACCTTAAGTGTCCATTGATGGATGAATGGATAAAGAAGATATGGTATCTATATATACACAGTGAAATACTATTCAGCCATAAGAAATAAGGAAATTTTGCCATTTGTGACAACATGGATGGGACTTGAAGGAATTATGCTAAGTGAAATAAGTCAGACAGGGAGAGAAAAATACCGTATAAGCTCACTTATATGTGGAATTAAAAAAAAAAAACAGGTTCAAAGATACAGAGAACAGATTGGTGGTTGCCAGGAGGTGAGGGGTGGGCAAAATGGATGAAGGGGGTCAAAAGGTACAAACTTTTTTTAATTTTTAAAATTTTTATTTAGTTATTTTTAGAGAGAGAGAGTAAGGGTGAGAGAAAGAGAAACATCAATTTGTTGTTCTACTTATTTATACATTCATTGGTTGATTATTGTATGTGCCCTGACTGGGGAATTGAACCTGCAACCTTGGCATATCAGGATGACGCTCCAACCAACCGAGCCACACTGACCAGGGCTAATTTTATTTTTTAATTACAGTTTACATTCAGTACTATTTTGCATTAGTTTCAAGTGCACAGCATAGTGGTTAGACAGTCATATACTTTATAAAGTATTCCCCTTGATGTTTCTAGTACACCCACCTGGCACCAAACATAATTATTACAATATTATTGACTATACTAGTATTGCCTATGCCCTGCTTTACATCTCCGTGAGGTAAAACTTTTTAAAAAAATGTTTTTATTGTTTTCAGAGAGGAAGGGAGAGAAACATCAATGATGAGAGAGAATCATTGATTGGCTGCCTCCTGCACGCAACCCAGGCATGTGCCTTTGACTGGAATTGAACCCCCCGGAACCGTTCAGTCTGCAGGCCAATGCTCTCTATCCAGTGAGCCAAACCAGCTAGGGCCAAAACTTTTTTTAAAAAATGGAGGTGAAAACAATTTAGAAATAAAAGCAGTGAAAGAAAGTACAGAGAAAAATATGGATTGTTTTGGCAATATAAATATCTGTATTACAAAATGTATCACAAAAAGAAAGTCACTAGCAATGAGCAAAATAAAACATTGCATGTTTTGAATGTGCTAAATGTCTCACATATACATACAGTCTTCTTCCCTTGGTATCCGTTGGGGATTGGTTCCAGGACACCCGGAGGATATGATAATCTGCTGATGCACAAGTCCTTATATAAAACTAGAGGCCTGGTGCACGAATTTGTGCACTGGTGGGGTCTGGCTGGCCCACCCCGATCAGGGTGGGGGGCTGATCGGGGTTGGGGCTGGCAGAGGAGAGGGGCTGCAGGCAGTTGGTCAGCTGGCCCCGGCCCCTGGTTCAACTCCTGGTCCATCTCCTGGTCAAGGGGATAATTTGCATATTAGCCTTTTATTATATAGGGTAGGATGGTGTATTTGCATATAACTTATGCATATTCTCCTATATACTTTAAGTCATCTATAGATTACTTATACTACCTAATACAATGTAAATGCTATGTAAATAGTTGTTGAACTGTATTGTTCAGGGAATAACAAGAAAAAAATAGTATGTGCATGTTCAGTACAGATGTGGTCATCTAGGCCTAACTGCATAGTACACATTAATAACAAGGTAACATTCTCCCCCGACCCCCACCCCCACCCCAGTATTTTAGGTCTACGGATGCAGAACCCATGGACACAAAGGGCCAGCTCTATTGATTAATCCTTATAAATCCTCTGAGAAATACAGAATTTTAACTGTATCATACAGAAAGATGAGACTGAGGGAGACCTAGAGATGTCAGCATTCAGCTAATAAGGGGTGAGGGGTATATTTGAACTCAAGTCTTTCAGATTTCAAAGGTTTTTGTGTATGTGTTGTTTTTTATTGATTTCAGAGAGGAAGAGAGAGGGAGAAAGAGATAGAAACATCAGTGATGAGAGAATCATTGATAGGCTGCCTCCTCCTGCACATCCACACTGGGGATCGAGCCCACAACCTGGGTGTGTGCCCTGGTTCATAGGTCGATGCTCAGCCACTGAGCCTCGCCAGCAGTGCTCAAAGGGTTTTTTGTTTTTGGTTTTTTTTCCTTCACCAAACCTTGCTTCTTCCAATTAGAGATCATTTTACGCTTTACTTAAAGCATAACTATGCTTTAAGTATCAGCAGCAATTACCTGAAATGTCCACAAGATGGAGATGTTGGGTGAAAGTAGACATTTCTCTTTGTAAAATAGAATGCTACACTAGTGGAATATTTAAATAGATGAATTCTCTTTTGCTTAGTGATATTAACTTGTTATATAGGCAGCTTGAATGTTATAAATATCATTTAATGTTTCTCTGTCATAATAGTAGTTAATATGACTTTCTATGTACCGGATAGTATTCTAGATACTTTATATACATGAATTCACTTAAAATCTCCTCAAAAAAGAATATGGAGGTGTTTTTTAAATTATAATATCCATTTTAGAAATGATGAAATGAGCATAGAGATAATAAATTATTCAGAGTAGTACAGCTAATAAATGGTAGAACTAGAATTCAAACCTAGACAGTTACTGCTCTCTTTTTGGTTTATGTCAGTTTTACCTGTACATAAATGTAAGAACACTATATACTTAGTGTTCTTATTAGCTGGATGTCTTTGGATTGTATGCCCCCTTATTTCCAGATTAACATGTATATGGAGAAAAACAAGGATATTATGTTATAAAATTCTAACTATAAATTGAAATATTAGTGGCCATAATTTTACTATTAAAGAAAACATCTAAGATCCTCTCTTGGTAGTTCAGATTTTCTTACCCACCCTCTTATGTTTAATGTTATATCTCTTAAGTTGCCCATATTTCATCATGGGAACATTGACTTCAGGAAATGCCTTATATTACTCTATGACATATTTTAGATGTGTAAGAAAAATGAAATAGTTCATTAAAAGTGTATGTTTTTCTTAGTTGCAGAACTTGAAGTGAAAACCAGAGAAAAATTAGAAGCTGCGAAGAAAAAAACAAGTTTTGAAATTGCAGAGCTTAAGGAGAGATTAAAAGCAAGTCGTGAAACTATAAATTGTTTAAAAAATGAAATCAGGAAACTCGAAGAAGATGATCAAACAAAAGAGATGTAAACAGTTCTGAAGAGAACTTGGTAGGAAACTAAACTGAAAATAAGGTGGACTTTGAAGGGGAAATGGATTGCAAATGCTTCTTAGAGAGCTGCATATATAGTTGTTGACCATCGGTTCCTCAGCAATGGGGTCAAAGTGTTTGTACTTTTCAAGCAATATTTAATGTGAAACATATGTATATAATAGATATGAATTCTGTATAGGCATTTTAACCCATTTTAGGGTAAATTCTATGCTGTTAAGCACAATTAAAAACTTTTTTTATTACATTGTATAGCTTATCCTTTAGACAGGCATAAAAATTCATTATAGCCCTAACCGGTTTGGCTCAGTGGATAGAGCGTCGGCCTGCGGACTGAAAGGTCCCAGGTTCGATTCCGGTCAGGGGCATGTACATTGGTTGCGGGCACATCCCCAGTAGGAGGTGTGCAGGAGGCAGCTGATCCATGTTTCTCTCTCATCAATGTTTCTTACTCTCTATCCCTCTCCCTTCCTCTCTGTAAAAAACCAATAAAATATATTTTTAAAAAATCATTATAAAATGTAATTTATACACAGTTCGTACTTCCCTGGTAGTTAGAATTAGTGGTAAAATTAATGTGTATATTTAATTTCTTAAGTTCTTAACTGCCTTCATCCTGATTCCTTTTAGTATTACAAGTTTATTTAAGTCATAAAAAGGATTCTTGAGGTAGGAATCACCAACTACTCTTGGAGTAGAATTCCTTTTGGGTACAAAACTATTACTAACATTTCCAACACAGTGTTTCTAGGCTGGCCTCGTATGAGGAGTGCTGCGTGAAGGCTGTGCTGGTGCTTCTGCAGGAGAAGTTCAGTGCTGACCTCTGCTCCCCTCTCGTTAGTCTCGTGTAGTTCATTTGCCAATGACTTTCTACATCCTGTTTCTTCTCGGTAGAGTTGCCTATATTTTCCCCATTTACAGTCTTAAGAAGTTTTCATGTTGGAGAGTTCAGATTCAACATCTTTAATTCTGAGTTCAAACTGGCTTCTTATTGAAGCACTATTATTCTCTCTTAACTGCTCTAGATTTTCTTGAGCAGTTTACAGACATGCTTGTGTCTGTAAAAATAGATTGACTTGTTCTAATTTTTCTGCTACATCCTGTCTTGTTCTTTCTTAAATCTTCTGTTTATACTGTTTTACTTTACAGTATTCTACCATATTAATTTCCATGTTTTCTGAGGTTTACTGCTGCTTGTTTCCACTTCTCTTTTATATTCCTTCGTTTTTCACATTTCTTTTGAAGTGTATTTTTTTCATCCAGATGTATAGATTTTGAAGATGCAGGTTGCACTTTTGCTATAAGATCATCATTCTGGTACTCTCTTTTTCTAATTCACCATTTTTCTTCATTTCTTGATGCAAGCTATATTGCAGAAATAGATTTAACTCCATATATTTCTTTAACTGTTCCTTTTCATGCTGAGAACGGTCCCGCTTCCTCCGAGCTCCAGCGCTGGGCGGCGGCACTGGGTGAACCAGGGACATACAGGGAGGAACTGGACTGTCTGACATCAGGGCAGGAATTCAGGGGTGGCTTTCTCCCAGATGGAGGTGCTCATAGGGGTCATTGTTCCTGTTCATCCTGACTCTTTTGTATTTGATGTACCAGTATCCAGTAAGTACTCAATAAATGTAGTTTACTGACCCGTTTCCTGCCTTGTAATGTTTCTTCCTTTCTCTGATGACTGGAGCTCTCTCATTACAATTAATGTCTTCATAGTATTGTGATCACACATCTTTTATTGGCATCCATTGTAGTAACAGAAGCTCTTTGATGGCAAAGATCACATCTTAAGTATTGTTCTGCCTAACTACCCTGTAGTGTCACTAGTTTTCACAGGGAACAGTTTAATCTCTCATCCTGTCCCAAAGACGCACAGGAAGCACCGGTGCATCACCGTCACATTTACCCCTAATTTCTCTACCTCTTCCTCAGCCTCTTCTGTTCACATCCACATGGTGAGCCCTCTACTTTTGGACTCACCTACTGTGATTTGAGCATTTAGTAGTATTTAATGTTTAAGACCATGTTGGCTGAACTATCTTCGCAACCGAGGGACAACAATAGATAGGAAAGTATTTTGGAAAATGTAAGTAACACCCTTGCCAGGTAGCTTAGTTGCTTAGAGCATTATCCTGATACATCAAGGTTGCAGGTTTGATCTCCAGTCAGGGCACATACAAGAAGCAGCCAATGAATGCATAAATAAGTGGAACAACAAAATCGATGTTTCTGCCTGGCCAGCGTGGCTCCATGGTTGAGCATCGACCTATGAACCAGGAGTCATGGTTCAGTTCCTGGTTAGGGAACATGCCCGGGTTGTGGGCTTGATCCCCAGTTAGGGGGCCTGCAGGAGTCAGCCAGTCAATGATTCTCTCTCATCATTGATGTTTCTATCCCTCCCTCTCCCTTCCTCTCTGAAATCAATAAAAATATATTTAAAATAAGTTAGCGAGGATGTGGAGAAATTAGAACCCTCATGTTGCTGGTGCGAATGTAAAATGGGTATAGCTACTTGGAAAAATAGTTTGGCAATTCCTCAAAAAGCTAATCTTAGTTATCCTAATGACCCAGCAATTCTACTTCTAGGTGTACACCCAAGAGAAATGAAAACATGCTTATACAAGAACTTGTACATGATTGTAGCAGACTTATGCATAATAGCCAACAAGGATACAACCCAAATATCCATCAGCGATGAAGGAAGTAAAATGGGGCATAGCCATACAGTGGAATGTTATTCAACCTGAAGGAAATAAGTACTAATTTTGCTACAACAGAATGAATCTTGAAAACAAATATAAATGAATAAAGCCAGACACAAAAGCCACATATTATATAATTTCATTTATATGAAATGTCCAGAATAAGCAAATTCTTAAAAATAGAAACTTGATTACTTGTTGCCAGGGGATGGGGGAAAGGGGATTTCCATTTGGGGTGGTGAAATGTTCTAGAGTTAGTAGTGATGATTGCACAATCTTGTGAATATACTAAAAACACTGAATTGTACATTTAAACATGGTTTTAATACTATGTAAATTTATCTCAACATTTGTAAAACATGACAAGTTTTGTTTAGAATTTTAAAGCAAACATTAAAAATACAAGGTTTTGATTTTCTCCATTCTTGTACAAGTGGAAGAGAATATGTGTTTACCAAGGATTAATTACTTTTGAGATAACGACTAAGAACAAGTAAAGTCAGCTAATTAGGTAGCTCACTTCTTTAAAGAAGAGCAAAGTGTAAGTCTCATTTTTCTAAACAGTGTGGTAGGTAGGTAGGGCTGCTATCCATATTTTGCATGTAAGAGATAGGAGATTAAGGGGTTAGTCATCTAGCAATGTGATTCAGACCAGTAATTTACAGCCTTTCTGCCTCAATAACACTTAATTCTTCTCATGTTCAAAGCGTTAGCTCATGCCTAAATACTTCGCAAATTTCTTTCCCTGGAGTAATTTAAGACTGTGTCAAATTTGAACATCAGGTGGCATAAATACAAAACATTGGGATAAGAAGCTTGCTAGCCATTAGTAACATGTAAGAAGATTCTGGTGTTAAGTTCTGGTGGGTGGAATATTAAAGAATAGATATTTGAAATCTCTTGTACAAGACATTCCTTAGCATATCCCACTAATATCTCCAGTTGGTTTTTTAAAAAGTAGTAATAGACTTTAAACTCTTGAGATTGAAACCAAGGAAAATGAGGAGTAAAAACAGGAGTAAATACTGTTTTTAGAATTGCAAAGAATTTTTAAAGTACAGTGAGAAACCCAGAAATCATAAAGTTCTAAGTTCCAAATTGAATGAGTTTAGGAATCTCCTGAGATTTGCTTTAAAGTACAGTCATGTGTCACAGGGATACCTTCTGAGAAATGCACCATTAAGGGGTTTTGACATACAAACATCAGTGTGCACTTACACAAACCTAGATGGTATCGTCTGCTACATACCTGGGCCCTGTGGTATAGCCTTTTGCTCCTACGCTACACAAGCTTGCACAGCGTGTTACTGTGCTAGATGCTATAGGCAAGTGTAACACAATGGTAAGTATTTGTATATCTGCACTCAGAAAAGGTACAAAATGTCTGAGGCTGATGCCCACACATAACACAGCACAGTTTTACAGCAAACCTTTTTTTAAGTAGAAAGAGTACACTCTAAAATGACAATGAGGACCGGCCGCTGTGGCTCAGTGGTTAAGCGTTGACCCATGAACCAGAAGGGCACATGCCCAGGTTTCGGTCTCCATCCCAGTAGGGGGCATGCAGGAGGCAGTGGAGCAATGGTTCTCTCTCATCATTGATGTTTCTCTCTCCCGCTCCCTTCCTCTCTCTGAAATCAATTAAACAAAATGACAAGAAGTGTAACATACTAAATATATAAACTAGTAACAGCCGTTTATTATCAATATCGTGTGCTGTGCATAACTATGTGCTACACTTTTATACAACTGGCAGTGCAGTAGGTTTGTTCACATCAGCATCACCACAGACATTTTACAGCAGCTGTGTTGTCATTAGGAGACGGGAATTTTTCAGCTCCCTTATATTCGTATGGGACCATTGTGATATATGTGGTTCATCAGTGGATTGAAACATTATTCAAAGCATGACTATAGATATGTAATTACTCATGGTGAGAGCAAAACTCAGCCCTGGCTGGTGTGGCTCAGGTGGCTGAGCATTGTTCCATTCCCCCTCAGGGCACATGCCCGGGGTTGTGGGCTTCATCCCTAGTAGGGGGCGTGCAGGAGGCAGCTGGTAGATGTTTATCATGGTTGTTTCTATAACTTTCCCTCCTTCTCTCTCTGAAATCAATAGAAGCATATTTCTTTTAAAAAGAACAAGTCCTAATTTTGCCTCTTGTTTTCTTGCATGCCTCAGATCAATTTAATGAAAGTGGTGAGCAACTGGCTGCTGGCGGCCATCACCCATGTCACCCTAATCAGAGTCATAGAAAGCTATCCCTTTTCATAGGCAGGGGGGTTGGAGCACTGTCTCATCCATGGTCTTCTAGGTCAGTAGGAACAGCACGCTATTTGCCCCATTTTACAGGCTAGTAAACTGACTCTCAGCCACTAGTGATTGGAATCAGGCAAAACTCTCTTTGACCCTTACAACCTCGGGTGATGGGTATCAGCATGAGGATGGCCCACCAGAATCCAAGCAGCAGGTGGCTGTGGCGGATGGAGACAGGGCTACCCAGCAATGCCCTAAGGGGTCAACCCTCATTCAACAATC